CAGCCAAACACACACACACACACACACACATGACACACACACACACACATGACACACACACAGACACACCACTCATGACAGGACACACACACATGACACACACACATGACACACACAAATACACATGACACCCACACACACATGACACACACACACACACACACACACACACACACACATGACACACACTCACATGACACACACACACACACACACACATGACACACACACACACATGACACACACACACACACACACACATGACACAACAACACACATGACACACACACACACACATGACAGACACACACATGACACACACACACATGACACACACACATGACACACACACACATGACACACACACACACACACATGACACACATGACACACACACACACACATGACACACACACAATGACACACACACATGACACACACACACACACACATGACACAACACACACACCACACATGACACACACACACACACACATGACACACACACATGACACACACTTACATGACACACACACACACATGACACACACACACACAACACTCACATGACACACACACATGACACACTCACACAACACACATAACACACACATGGCACACATGGCACACATGACACACACACACACATGACACACACACATGACACACACACACACATGAGAACACACACACATGACACACACACAACACACGACACACACACAACACACATGACACACACACATGACACACATACATGACACACACACACACATGACACACACACACATGACACACACACACATGAGCCACACACACATGAGCCACACACACATAAAACACACGTCACACACACACACGACACACACACACACGACACAAACACACACGACACACACACACACGACACAACTGGCCCCAAACTCACCCCTGCACATCGAATTGCAAGATTACTTTTTGCCCGAGATCACGTGAATTGGAATTTGGAGCAGTGGCAGAAGGTTCTTATTACTGACGAAAGCAGAATGTTTTGCATGGTTCCGACGGCCGTAATTTTGTTTACCGGCGATCAGGTAATTACCATTCTAGAGGAATCAATAATTTTTTAAGCTATTGCATAGCTTCTATCGCGGGCCTTGAGCGTGGGGACCGAATCCAGAAATTTCGTAACGAAAAAAAACCTAACACCTCCCACTCAGATTTGACATCTGACATCTGACATCTGACGTTTCTGACGATCTGACAAAAAAAAAAACGAAAAAAAAAAAAAAAAAAAAAAACATTATATATATAATCGATGGTCGTTGTGTAAATTGATATACATGAAGTAATAATGTCTAATAACTCATTGGAATATTTTTCGCCAAACCTAACCCAAACCAAAAAAAAAAACAATATATATATAATCGATCGTCGTTGTATAAATTGATATACATGAAGTAATAATATCTAATAACTCATTGGAATATTTTTCGCCAAACCTAACCCAAACCAAAAAAAAAAACAATATATATATAATCGATCGTCGTTGTGTGAATTGATATACATGAAGTAATAATATCTAATAACTCATTGGAATATTTTTCGCCAAACCTAACCCAAACCAAAAAAAAAACAATATATATATATAATCGATCGTGTTGTGTGAATTGATATACATGAAGTAATAATATCTAATAACTCATTGGAATATTTTTCGCCAAACCTAACCCAAACCAAAAAAAAACAAGATATATATAATCGATCGTCGTTGTGTAAATTGATATACATGAAGTAATAATATCTAATAACTCATTGGAATATTTTTCGCCAAGCCTAACCCAAACCAAAAAAAAAAAACAATATATATATAATCGATCGTCGTTGTGTAAATTGATATACATGAAGTAATAATATCTAATAACTCATTGGAATATTTTTCGCCAAACCTAACCCAAACCAAAAAAAAAAAAATATATTTTATAATCGATCGACGTTGTGTAAATTGATATACATAAAGTAATAATATCTAATAACTCATTGGAATATTTTTCGCCAAACCTAACCCAAACCAAAAAAAAAAACAATATATATATATCATCGATCGTCGTTGTGTAAATTGATATACATGAAGTAATAATATCCAATAACTCATTGGAATATTTTTCGCCAAACCTAACCCAAACCAAAAAAAACAATATATATAATCGATCGACGTTGTGTAAATTGATATACATGAAGTAATAATATCTAATAACTCATTGGAATATTTTTCGCCAAACCTAACCCAAACCAAAAAAAAACAATATATATATAATCGATCGTCGTTGTGTAAATTGATATACATGAAGTAATAATATCTAATAACTCATTGGAATATTTTTCGCCAAACCTAACCCAAACCAAAAAAAAAACAATATATATATAATCGATCGACGTTGTGTAAATTGATATACATAAAGTAATAATATCTAATAACTCATTGGAATATTTTTCGCCAAACCTAACCCAAACCAAAAAAAACAATATATAATCGATCGACGTTGTGTAAATTGATATACATGAAGTAATAATATCTAATAACTCATTGGAATATTTTTCGCCAAACCTAACACAAACCAAAAAAAAAAACAATATATATATAATCGATCGTCGTTGTGTAAATTGATATACATGAAGTAATAATATCTAATAACTCATTGGAATATTTTTCGCCAAACCTAACCCAAACCAAAAAAAAACAATATATATATCATCGATCGTCGTTGTGTAAATTGATATACATGAAGTAATAATATCCAATAACTCATTGGAATATTTTTCGCCAAACCTAACCCAAACCAAAAAAAACAATATATATAATCGATCGACGTTGTGTAAATTGATATACATGAAGTAATAATATCTAATAACTCATTGGAATATTTTTCGCCAAACCTAACCCAAACCAAAAAAAAAACAATATATATATAATCGATCGACGTTGTGTAAATTGATATACATAAAGTAATAATATCTAATAACTCATTGGAATATTTTTCGCCAAACCTAACCCAAACCAAAAAAAAAAACAACCTATATATCATCGATCGTCGTTGTGTAAATTGATATACATGAAGTAATAATATCCAATCACTCATTGGAATATTTTTCGCCAAACCAAACCCAAACCAAAAAAAACAATATATATAATCGATCGACGTTGTGTTAATTGATATACATGAAGTAATAATATCTAATAACTCATTGGAATATTTTTCGCTAAACCTAACCCAAACCAAAAAAAAAACAATATATATATAATCGATCGTCGTTGTGTAAATTGATATACATGAAGTAATAATATCTAATAAATCATTGGAATATTTTTCGCCAAACCTAACCCAAACCAAAAAAAAAAACAATATATATATAATCGATCGACGTTGTGTAAATTGATATACATAAGTAATAATATCTAATAACTCATTGGAATATTTTTCGCCAAACCTAACCCAAACCAAAAAAAAAAACAATACATATATAATCGATCGACGTTGTTTAAATTGATATACATGAAGTAATAATATCTAATAACTCATTGGAATATTTTTCGCCAAACCTAACCCAAACCAAAAAAAAAAAAACAATATATATATAATCGATCGTCGTTGTGTAAATTGATATACATGAAGTAATAATATCTAATAACTCATTGGAATATTTTTCGCCAAACCTAACCCAAACCAAAAAAAAACAATATATATATAATCGATCGACGTTGTCTAAATTGATATACATAAAGTAGTAATATCTAATAACTCATTGGAATATTTTTCGCCAAAACCTAACCGAAACAAACCAAAAATAAAAAAAAAACAAAAAAATACTATAATATTAATCCGATCGTGCGTTTGTAGTAAAATTGATATATCACATGAAAGTAAATAATATCTAAATATAACTCAATTGGAATAATTTTGTCGGTGGGCACCAGAACCTAACCCCAACTACCATAAAAAAAAATTACAATATATATATAACACGATTCGTCCCATTGTTGTCAAATTGATATAACATGAAGTAATAATATCTAATAAACTCGCATGGGATATATTATTATCGTGCAAACCAAACCCAAACCAAAAACAAATAACAAAACAATATAAATATATAAATCGAATCGTACGTTGGTGTAGAAGTATGACTATAAATTAGAAGTAATCAATAACACACAGACTAACTAACTCATGTATGGAATATTTTTCGCACAAAACACACTAACCCAAAAAAAAAATAAAAACAATATATATATTAATCGATAACGTCGGTTGTATGTAAAATTGATATACATGAGGAGTAATAATATAGCTTAAGTTAACTCGAAGTTTGGAATATTTGTTTCGCCTAAACCTAAAACCCAAACAACAACAAAAAACAAAATACAATTATATAGGATATACTCACACGATCGTCATTGTGTAGCAATTGAATTATAAAAGGAAGTTATAATATCTAGTATAACTCATTAGGAAATATTTTTTCGTCTAAAACCTAAAACCCAAACCAAAAAAAAAAACAATTGTAGGATAATATATAATCGATAACGTCGTTGCTGTGTGAAAAATTGATATACATGAAGTAATAAATATCTAATAACTCAATTGCGATAGTATTTTTCGTGCCAAACCTAACCCCAGACCACAAAAAAAAACCACTATATATATATCATCGATACTCATCTCAGAATTCGGTTGTGTGAATTAGATATAACATGTAAGTAATTAAGGTCAATCTAATAACTCATTGGGACAATATTATTAATTCGCCAAAACCTAACCCAATACCAAAAAAAAAACGCACATAATATATAATTAATAAACTCAAGATCGTGTCGACGTTGCTATGGGTATAATTGAATAAACATGAAGTACATTAATATCCTAATTAACTACATTGGAATATTTTTGTTCGCACCAAGCCTCACGCTCACGGGCTAGCCGGACCAATGTTCCCAGGACTGGGGCACTGTCTTCTAGTCACGTGTCTGGGCTCGCACTCAAGTGCAACGCGAAGCCGTGGGCAAGTTCGGTGGCAAATGCACGTGGATTCAGCGAGGCTCTGCTTTCCGGCGATCGCGCGGACACAGGTATACGCGCCGAAGCACCCAGTGGCACTCTCGTGAGACCTTGCAGGGTCAGCACGGAAGAGGGTGGAGGACGCCGTGACGTCCCTCCGCCAGCCACTGCCTGAGGACGGGGCGAAACTGCGTCAATAGTTCTCCGGCCCAGCCGATGCGTGCTCCAAACCTTGCGACGCCACTCGTCAATTGCGGCATACCCGTCTCTTCGTATCTCGTGACTGTATGCTAGGCTGAGGTAACCGCCGGACGCAAGGCCTCGAACGCCCGACACAATAGGTAGTCGACGCCAAGGAAAGCGCATCAGGTCCACATGCGGTGGTTACTGCCACGCGAGCACGCACGCATAGCCGCATCTGTCACGAGATGGTCCGGTCTACACCCTTATAGCCTCTATACCGTCCGCCATAAATGCTCACGCTGCGAATGTGCCGTAAAAGAACAGCCACCTTCTCACGCGACAGAGAGGATCATTTGCCCAATACCAGGTGGGGCACACGTATAGCGCCCAATGGAACCGCACGGGACTCACAAGATTACAGGGCGTCCTGCTGGCGCAATTGGGTCCACTGACGTTCGGCAACAGCACACTGCCGAGTGCACAACTTGCCGATCATTCGTCAATTTCACCGGTGCAAGGGCGTTTGAATAGTGGGCCACGAAAGTTCCACCGGACCGTACGAGCACGAGTCCCAGGTACTTCATCGTGCTCGACAAACCGATGCGGACTCCGCCGACCGTGATGTGGGTGTCGGGTGGAGGTGCTCTTCTAGGGCCATGGAAACAAATCGTGCCTCCGATTCCGCGAGAGCAACCTCCAATCCCAACCTCCGTATCCTACTGACTATGTTGGGCCACTACCTGCCGTCGCCAGTATCGCCGCCTCTTCTGTGTGGCCTCGTCGCCCGCGCCAAGACTAGGGTGTCGTCCGCTGTAACACTACTACGCTCACTCCCCTTAGCGTGCTACCCCTCACACACCCATTCGTAACTCCGATTGTTCCACAGGTAGCGGCCCGCTCCAACCGAGCCCTGTGGCACACTGCACGACACCTCTCGTCTCCCGCACCAGCCGTCCCGCTCCGAAAAAGACCACCGATCTTTCGGAAAGGTAAGCCTTATCATAACGCTTGCGCAGGTGAAGGTGGGCACCCCGTGGTGGCGGAGGTGCTTCCCTGATGCCAACCCAGGGCTAAGAGTTTAACGGCGTTTTGCGATGGTCCAAGGCATACCGTCAAAAAACTACTTCACCCCGGATTACCGCATCCTGCGCGCGGGACTTTCACTCCCACAGGATGGCATCCACGGTTGAGCGACCACCGCGGAAATTCCCCACAAAACTGTCGTGTCCGATAGATCTGGCCCGACCGCCGCCATGTTCTGTGAGTAGGCTTGTTCTATATCACGATGTCGCTTCGAACAACTTATAGCCATCTCACTCAAAAAGCACGATGGGGCGGGTTAACCGGAGGAGGACGTCCGCTGGACGTCCCTTCCTTTCTGAGGATACTAGCCTACCTGTCTTCCACCTCTGTGGAATTGTGGCTTGAGCCAGTGACAGGCAGTGAATATAGTCCCCCTCATATCTAAGACCCCTAAAGCGTCCATCGCTCAGAACGAGAGCGCCGACCCGGTATCCCATCTCAGCCCCTGGGGCGACCGATTTTTTTTCCGCAGGGTGCTGCGCTACTTGCAGCTGCCATCTCCTCCTCTCATTGACTTCTGGCACTTTCCTACGGCCGCTTTCAGCCTCCTCAGCCGTTTTGCACTCGGAGCCATCTGCGGCGGCACAAAGTTATGTCGGTGTGGAAAAAGATTCTTCCAACACACTTTCGTAACACTTCCCCATCGAGCGAGGGTGGGGGGGGGCTCGTGTGATTGGAGGGGCCCAGGGGCTGAGCTTGTTCATGACCATTCTATAGGGTGTGCGCCCGGGATTCGTTCATTGAGCCCAACCAACATTGCGGCCTCTTCCCTCGAAGCTATGGCCCTGGCAATCTGACTTTGCAAGCTCGCCTTCCCCTCCACGTAGCTCGCATAACCTACGGTCTTCCTCTGCTCGATTCTCGTGAAATGCACCCTCCTTCGGTAAGTGCGAGAACAGGCGTCCCTGGCACCGAAGCAGTCGCTCGCGCAGATTGCGCGCTTTTCTGCCGTCCCCACCACCACACTTGCTGCTTAGGAAGGGCGACGCCCGGAACGAGGGCATTGCAGCATCGCAGGATGCGCTTTGCCAGCTCCT